ATATCAAGCTTGAAAAAAAGAATTTTGAATTCTATTTGAACAAAATTAATCCTTATTATTATGAAATATTAAACGATGTACAACCCTTTGATTCTGGTTCAAAGTTCAATTTTATTTGTTTGTATTTTTCAAATCTTAAAAAACATAAAGATGCTCTGGAAAAAATACAAAAGAATGATGATTGGTGGGAATTATATGACACGTATTCTGATGATCTCACATGTTATTATCGAAAGGTGGTGCGTGAAAATGATTTTGAGTTGGTTGGATGGTATCGATTAATTTCTGATAAACTTTTATCCGATGACATGTTTCTAACATTATCAGAAATAGAAAAGATTGAAAATAAAATAGAATTACCAAAGTTGTTAAATTTATCCTGGGATATTGAAACGAGAGATCCACGTGGGCCTGGTTATTTTCCTTATAGGTATGAGAAAACTTCTTTTGTTTATATGATTCAGATGGACATTTACTGGATTGATTCTTCATATCTAATTAAAAGATATTGTTTGACATCATTACCGATTAATGAAGAATTATTTTTTTCTAAATACAGTTTAATTCCGAGAGAAAATTTTCATTTCATTCGCTGTTTTACAGAAGTTGATTTATTGTCAGGGTTTGCCAGAATATTTAATAGATTCAAAACTGTTTTTGAGACAGGCTATAATACAGGTGGTTATGATTGGGATTTTATTTTAAAGAAAGTAAAACAACACAATATAGGGAAAGAATTTAATAAAGTTCTTTTGGATACAACTGAAGATATTAAAGTTAATATTAGAGAAACAAAAATTAGAGTTGTTCCATGAGATCTTGAGAATGCTATGAGAAAGTATAAGTTTGCGGGATTCAATCTGAACAATAGAACGATAAAAGTTAATCTGAATGAAAAAATGATTTGTGGATATTATTATATATCGGGAATGATTTTTTTAGATTTGTTAGTTTGGGTGAAAAAAGCATTCCTTACAGACATCAAACACACGCTTGACTATGTGTTAAAAAAGTGTGGATTGGAAGGCAAAATTGATCTTCCATATGTTCCCAAAAAATCATCAAATCTCAGTTCTATGTTTATTTTTCTGAATGCAATATTATACAAGAATGATATTGAAAAATTAAAAGTTTTTGCTTCACAACTTGTCTCTTTGAACGATAAAATCAACTATGAAGAATGTATGGCTCATTTCGTTGTCAACAAAGAACAGCTTGAACATTATGCCGTAAATATAGCATACTATTGTTCTATTAATTCAATCAGATGCCAGGAACTGATGTTGAAAAGAAATATTGTTCAAGATTATATAGAGATAGCAAAAATCTCAAGTGTAACTATGTCAAATATATTCACTAATGCGGTGGGCACTTTTGTACGTAATTTATATAGGCGTGAAGCAGCAAAATGTTGCATTTTAATATCAACAAATTGTAAAGGAGTTGTTGAAGTGGGGGTTCTATATTCAGGAGAACTAGTGCTTAATCCAAAAAAAAATCCAAATGATTGTCCAGTACCAGATTTAGATTTTACTTCAATATACCCAAATTCTATCATAACAATGAATATTTCTCTTGAGACCGAATTACCATCAACATCTGATAAACCTTTTAACATAATATATTATACTAAGCAAATTTTTACAAAATTCAAGAAACATTATAATCAGGTGGAAAAGATGGGATTGATACCTCTTATGTGTAAAAAATTGTTAGAGAGCCATGCTGAGGCAAAAAGATTTATGAAACTTTATAAGAATGATCCTGTAAAGTTAGCTTATTATATAGCAAAATCAAATGCTTTGAAGTTAATAGCAAATTCCACATATGGAGAAACTGGATATAAATTTTTCCCATTTTATCAAAAGTCAGTTGCTGCATCAGTTATAGCATTTTCACGTCTTTGTTTGAGACTTGGTATTCATTTTTTAGAATCAAAAAATTGCATGGTAATTTACACAGACACTGATTCAGAATTTTTTACGATACCCGAAGAACTTTTTGTTGAGATAGACAAACTATATTTTCATGATAAAAAGCTTCATGCTGAAATGATGATTAAAAAATCTATTGAATATGCAAAAATGATAGAAGTTGAAATGAATGAA